TTTTTCCATATTTTGTCAATTTTTGAACTTTAAATGCTTATAAAAAAAAACTGTGACTAACGATTTTTAATATTTTTCATCTGCCTTTGAAACAATATACTAGGACCCTTCTATAAATCAAAGTATTTTGAAAATGGTATCGTGTATAGAAAATGCAAATATAAACAACCAGTGAAAATTTCATGTATCTACGGTCATTTGTTTTAAAGTTACACCAGAAACCAAATTCAATTTTCTGAAAAATTGATTTTGCATAAAAATTCCCGTTTTTCCTTAATTTTTCTTTTGTTTTTCCCGGCGCTTTTGAAAACTACTGGGAAATTTAAATTTTGACCTCCTCAATGCACCAACGATATTCACTTTCCAATCGAACAAGATACTGAAGTCGAAAATCGAAGCATTATTTCGACTACTTATCGTGTACACAGACAAAAAAAATAAAAAAAAAACACACATCATTGTAAAATCAATACATTCATCGTTTCACTCAGAATCTAAAACTAGAATAACTATTTTAGTTATTTTGTTGTGATTGTGTAATTTTATTCGTGGGTACTTGATACTTTTAAAGTACTCTACTATATATCTATGGAGTATGGACTATGATAGTATCATGGTTTGTTGTTGATGTATAACGCATTATAAGTACCTAATGGATATTGTGATATGATTAATTTGGATTTTATTATAGGTACCTATTATAGGTAAATTTTTGTTTAATACCATAGATTTTATATAATATGTCTTATACCTAGACTGACATACCGTCTCCGCTCAGAATCGTTTTTCTTATACAATGATATTATATCGTTGAATTCAAATTTAATTTCATCCATTATACAGTGACCCACTTGTAACCTACTGTACAGCAGAGCGACACCCACTTGCCCACCTTTTTTTACATGCTTTTCTTTAACTCGCAATGTTTCATTCATTCATTTCTGTTGTCATCAAATCTTGCGAGTTCAATTTAAGTCACTTATATATGACCTAGGAGGCTCAAATTTTGTATGGAGGTCTAGGGTCGGTGACAATACATGGCCCAGTTGTCAAAAAAAAAAAAAAATCAAAAAATCCTTTGTTTCTAATTTATTGTTATCACTAAAAAGTAGAAAATAAAAAAATAAAGAAAAAATTTGTTTAAATACATGCTTTTCCTAATACTATTTAATATATGAACGAAAAAGTTGAAAATAAACTTACTTTTAAAACAATTTCTTAATGAAACTTCAAGGTTATCAAGATATTACTAAAAGTGTTTCTAAAATGGATTTGTTGCAAAATTTTTGAAACTTGTGAATTACAAATAACGAAATGCATGGGGCTCCTATGAGGCAAGAATTGAAGAATATCTCTTACAAAATTGGAAGTATGATCAATAATCTTTAAAATATTTATCATAAAGTTTATCTAATGATTCAGTTGTAGAGTGACTTTACATAGGAGTTATCATAAGTGCCCAATGCTTTTCGTTTTTTGTAATTCACTAGTTTTAAAAATTTTGCAACAAATACATTTTAGAAACACTTCTAGTAATATCTTGATAACCTTGAAGTTTCATTAAGAAATTGTTTTAAAAGTAAGTTTATTTTCAACTTTTTCGTTCATGTATTAAGTAGTATTAAGAAAAGCATGTTTTTAAAAAATTTTTTCCTTTTTTTTTTATATTGTCTACCGCCGCCGCGTACTTAGATATTAAACAATTTATTATATCATTCAAACATGTTGATAATTTTATTTATTTTTTATTGATGTTTTTATAAGTTGTAATTATTAAAATAAATATAAATTAATAAAATGATAAGCCCCCCACGAATTTATTAACTTATAATTTTCAACACATAGGTACATACCTATTATATTTTATTATTTGTAAATAATTTTTTTGTTAATACATTATAATAAAAAAAAAAGGATAAGAATAACCTGATATTAATATTTTTAATGTTTAAAATTCAAATAAAAACAGCATTAATCTTAAAAAATCCTGATTTAAAAAAAGCTAGAATTTTTCCCTCCTCTTGGTACCTTTTGCCTATGTCCAGGGCCCCTCGCCCCCGCAATACCTAATGCCGGCACTGATTTTTCTAATTGTACCGTTTATCACCCCACTTGGACTACCCCAGTACCGACTACCTACTAATTATTATACTAACAGAGTAGGTACATAGTGCAGACTGAATATTTGTTATGTACAATTAATAATGACAAATAACATTTAAAATGCTTTACATAGATCTTCTAATAGGTATTATGGATATTATAAAATATAAATAGATATTAATACATTATTATAGTTCGCAACACGCACACATTTGACAACGAACAGGTCGGTGCCCAGTAGAATTGTACTACATATACCTAATACAATAATAATAATAATATATTCATAGGTTCAAATAGCGTTGGGGGGGGGGGGACTAAAGCCTTACTTTGATAATATTGAATAAGCTTAAAACAAAATGTAAGAAATGTTTGGGGGGCTATGGAAATATTTTTTTTGGGAGGGGGCATAGCCCCTAAAGCCCCCCCCCCCCCCTATTTGCGCCGAAGCTTTCACCTAATTCTTGTAATGCTGTTTTAGCTATTTGTGGATCTGGGTAAAATTCTTGACTGACACATTCTTTTAGAATTAAGTTAAAAACTTCTCCGAGTATTAAAATTATTTTTTTGAAGAAAACAGTAAACAGCAGTTACAAAACTTCATATTTTTTCCCTCGAAAAACCTATAACTGCAGAAAATTTTCTGGACTTAACGAAAAATTACCATCACAATACCAAGTACCTATGTGCTTCATCTAAATATTTTATTTTATTATTATCTATCTTATAATACAAATTAATTGTGCTATCTTTATTTCTGTATACCTTTCAAAGAGAGATTATTTTACTCTATTATGATGAACTCTTATTTATAGCCTTCCTATAAGTATTACATGGTATTGGCCCAGAAATAAAATATTTAGAGACTACTGTGTACCATATGGGGTGATTATAGCCATATAGGAACGATATTATAAAATCAGTGAAAGTAAGTTACCGCTCAACAATCGACTGTATCAACTATATTTAAATTCATATGCATAGGTAATTTAAATTAGTAAGCGAGAGAGTATAAATAATTATAATTAGGGCACGGATGATGTTGAATTTGCAACTTTTCTTCTACTTTTTCAATTAATTGCTAAGTAAGTTTTAAATATGTTTCATGTAAGTACGAATTCAAATCTAAAAGTTTTAAGTGCAATTTTTTGCAATTTTTGGGATTTTTTCAATTTTATTGCAATTTACTCATTTATACAACTATTTTAGCAATATTAAAACTTATATATGACTTAAAACCATTATTAAAATCAATGATATAGGTACTAACTGGACAAACTGGTTTACCCGAAGACTTAACAGTAAGCGATTTATCTTATTTTAAATACGCTCCGCTTACATCAACCGACGTAGAATGAAGTTTTTCGAGATATAAGAACTTACTAGCTCCAAATCGAAGAGGGTTTGATTTCGAAAATTTAAAACAAACACTTATAGTACAGTGCAATGATGTATAATATAATAAATTTATAATGGCATGATTATAATGTAATGTATATATTTTTTTTTGTATTATTTAGAATTTTAGATTATAATTTATAACAGTCAACTTAAAACATTTATAACAAAACGTTGTTATTTTTTAGTGCAATTTTTAATATTTTTAGTGCAATTTTTGGTATTTTTTAGTGCAATACTGCAATCAATTTTACTATTTTTTTAGTACTACAACATCCGTGCCCTAATTATAATTATATAATTATTGTAACCCCACCCCACGACTCTGTAAGATAATACTATTCTTATCATCCACCCCCTAAAAAGAATGCTAAATATGCCACTGCATGTATGTGGAAATATTCTAACTTGTATCCCTGTACCTATTGTTATATATTTAATACTTAATAATTTTAACTTAAAAACATAATGATGCATATAAATTATTATGTTACCAAGCTAAATTTGTTATAAATAATAAGTTAAAAGCAGACAATTTATAATAGGATCAACTAATAATATTAAACATGGAACAGAGAACCGTTATCTCCCGAATATCAACAAAAATATAAAAACCATTATAGGTACCTATACAATTGTTTGAGGTGATATGTATAAATATGAGAATATTTTAGAGATATTTTGGGAATAAATATAAAGGTAAAAATCATGTGCCAACATTTTCAAAAACATGGATACTTTTCAAAATAATGAGTGTTATTTGATAAAAGTATCACCCTGCAGTATGTTCTTAATACATAATACCATTAGTGGACAGTGGATTGTAAAAATGTTTAGATAAATATGAATAAAATGTTATTTTATTTAATAATATTCCATTACCTTATTTCAGTGTTTTTACAATAACAAGTGCTAAGATTGTTACATATATAGTTGATAAGAGTAATAATTTAATATAATTTATATTATATTATATAATTATATATAATATAGATTATAAAAAAAAAACTACATGATTAACATCTACAATATTTTTCTTTTTGTATCTCATAAGTCATAACACAAATTTAAGCTACCTTAATTACTCAATTAATACTTTATGAATAGTTAATTTGTTTATAATATGTGAATTATTTAACAAGATATACGAGCTAAGATTTTATTTTCTATTGTGCAATTATTTAGATTCAACTTCTAATATAAAATCTGACTGCACTTGCTAAGTTTATATACTTCAATAGCACAATTACCAAAATCTTTCTTATATTCTTCTAAATTAATAATTAATAGTTATTAACAGTATATTGTATACTAAAAATTCAAATCAAAATAAAATAATAGTATTTTTTATATTATAATATATATTTTAAATATTGACACATTCTAACAGTGAAATAAAAACATGAAGAAAAGCTGTTACTATAATAAGTGTTCATAATTTGGTAACTGACTTAAAAATGTATAAATTTTATAGTATTTATGAAAATGTAGTTTTTTGCTTAATAGGCATGATCTTTAACAAATAGTCCCTGAGAACCAGCAGCTGTTTGTACAGAACCAGCTTCGTATTTGCCAAGAGCTGATAGTTTGTTTGCCTAAACAAAAATTCAACAAATATAAGTATTTGATCTAAACGCATTAAATTAATATAACACTATAATTGTACTAACCAATGCTCTCTTAAGAAGTTCGTCTTGAGCAGTTTTAATATTTTCTTTCTTTCCTTGCCATGCTTTTAAGACTGAAGCTTGCAGAGCACGTCCATAACTGAAGCTCAATGCCCATGGTTTCTTGGCATTGTACTTGTTAATCGCATTCAAATTCACGGATGCTTCTTCCTCAGTCTGACCACCAGACAAAAACATAATTCCTAAAAAATTATATGATTGTTAAGCATGAAACAAAACTAAAAATGAATTTTTTTAAATAATTACCAGGAACTGCTGGAGGGACAGTGCGCTGAAGAGCGGTCACTGTGGCTTTAGCAATTTCGTCAGCTGTAGCCTTCTTACAGGCAGATTGGCCAGGAGTAACCATGTTAGGCTTCAAAATAGTACCTTCAAGATACACATGGTGATCATTCAGCGCTTTGTATACTGCAGCCAGCACAGTTTCAGTGACTTTTTGGCAACGGTCCAAATCGTGTTCTCCATCACACAATACCTATAAAACACAATAATACAATATTTTCAACAAAATATAGTTTAAAGTTAGTGCATACCTCAGGTTCTACAATTGGAACAATACGGTTGGCTTGGCAGATGGAAGCGTATCTAGCCAACACATTAGCATTTTCCAAAATAGCTTGGTATGAAGGAATATTCTTACCAATCTTTAATACTGAACGCCACTTAGCAAAATGACATCCGTCTTTTTTATACTGAGCACAACGTTGAGCCAAATCATCCAATCCTGTATTGAAATAAGTTTAAATAAGTATATAATATTTTAGATTCCGAGTGGAACGATGAATGTATTGATTTTACAATGATGTGTGTTTTTTTTTTTTTGTGTCTGTCATCAAGTTTTAGGACAGTAAAAGTCTAATTTTCTTCAACAGTATCTTTTCTGATAGGAAAGTGAATCTAGTTGGTACTTTAAAGGAGTCAAAAGTAAAAATTTCCCAATAGTTTTCAAAAGCGCAGTGAAAAACAACATAAAAATTAAGGAAAAACGGGAATTTTTACGCAAAATCAGTTTTACAAAAAATCGATTTTGGTTTTTGGTGTAACTCTAAAACAAATGAACGTATAACTGTATATACATGAAATTTTCTCTGGTTGTTTATATTTGCATTTTTTATACAACATACCATTTTTAAAATATTTTGACTTATTTTGAGCTGTTTACTGACATTTTTCAGTTTCCATTTTTTTTTAGTTTTTTTTTATAAATTTCAATAAAGTTTTATCTGTATGGACAAAAAGTGTAAACATTGAATACAAGGCTCCTATTATATTGTTACAATATCAGTTGAAAAATATTAAACCCTAGTCACATTTTTTTTTAAGCATTTAAAGTTCAAATACTGACAAAATATGTAAAAATAAAGAAAATTTGCAAATTACTTCGAGTTAGAAATTCATAAACAATTTTCTTTTTAAACCTAAGATTTGAAAATGTAACACAAGATTCCTCATAGGTTTGTCTACCTTTATCAAAAAAAAAAAATCAACAAGAAACTAAAATTAAATTTTTATGAGCATTTGAAATCCATATTTTTACAATATTTGATATTCACTCGATTTTTCATGTAACGATTTTCTTATTTTGTTGTAATTAAAAAATGAATGACTATAGTTACTCGAAAATTGCACTGAATGTTTATATTAGCATTTCCTATACACCATACAATTTTGAAAATATTTTGACTCTTTTTCGGCTGTTTACGGACATTTACAGCTTTCAATTTTTTTTAGTTTTTTTTTTATAAATATCAATAAAGTTTTATCTGTTGGGCCAAAAAGTGTAAAAATTTAATACAAGGCTTCTGATATATTGTTACAATATCAGTTGAAAAATATTAAAAATACATAGGCACAATTTTTTTTTATAAGCATTTAAAAATCGAATTTTGACAAAATTTATCAAATTTAAAATTGAATAATTATTTTGTAGTTAAAAATGTATAAAATGTTCAACTTTTATATCTAAGGATTGAATATTTAAAACAAGATCCACGTAAGTAGTAGATTCTGTAACCAAAAAATCTAAAAAATACATAAGCAAATTTTATTTTTATAGTCATTTTAAGTTCAAATTTGGCCGAAATTACATAATGAAAAACCTAGAATAACTATTTTAGTTATTTTGTTGTGAGTGTATAATATTATTCGAGGGGAACTTGAAACTTCTAAAGTATACTATCATATATCTATGATAGTATCAGGGTTTGTTGTTGATGTATAATGCGTTATAAGTATACCTAATGGATATTGTGATATGACTGATATGATCAATTTGGAATATATCATAGGTATGTACCATATCATAGGTAATACCATAGATATGTATATAATATGTCTTAAGCCTAGACTGACATACATGTCTCCGATCAGAATCGTTTTTCTTATACAATGATATTATATCATTGAATTCAAATTTAATACCTTTTATCCCGCCTTTTATTATACAGTGCTCCACTTGTAACCTACTGTACAGCAGAGCACCTTTTTATTATTATTTACTTTTAAAACTTACCTTGAGTGGTAGTTTCTCCTTCAGAACCAAATAAGTTCACAACACCCATATCAACTTTAATTCCAGGGATAATGCAACGGTTTTTGAGAATTTCAACAAATGGAACACCATCGTCGGTTTTTTGGTAAAGAGTTTCGTGGAATAAAATGACACCAGAAATACGATCATTTAAAGGTTCATCGGCAGTAAACAACAATTGTCTGTAGGCACGGCGGTTATCTTCAGTATTTTCAACTCCAATATCTTGAAGACGTTTGCCCATGGTTGACACAGACTCATCAGCGGCCAACAAACCTTTACCGTCAGCCACCATGGCATTGGCAATCTTGCTAAGTTCATTCTGGAGTTCTACAGATGGGTAATCGAAGTAAGTTGTCATTTTGATAATATTCTGAAAATAAATATTATATGTATTAACTAATATTTGTGTTTATGAAAACTTGTTAAGAATATAAAATTAACATAAAATAGTTAAGTTTTTAAAAATAATACAGTAAAACCATATTAAGTATATGAGCACATTTAATTATGCAATTTGGTATCCATACACAATATTTCAGTTCCTACATCAAAACCTGATTTTTCAATGACATTTTGTTTGTTATTTTTTAATTATGCATAATATTAATGAAATGTTACTGTGATATACATATACCTACATAATTCATATATATATATATATATATATTAAATAAAAACCTAATTTTTTTTTTAAAATTAGATAATTTATTTTATACCTTCGAGTGTATATAGTTGAATATTTTTTTTTACATTTAGAATTTGCAGTAACTATGTGATAATATGAAAAAACAATTTATAGTTAAATATGTATAATATGTAACAAGTATTTAATATAATAATAAACAAACCTAATATGTTAAAACAAAAACAAACTTTTTTATAATTTTTATGGGTATTTAAAATTTAAAATTATATTAGGTAACTAATAGTTGAAAAAATGTAATAATGGGATATAAATGGTATTCACAAATTAAAAGGGGCATCTTAAAGGAAATAAATGATGTAGTCAATTTTATCAAAATAGAATTCATAACCATAGGTATGAACAACTTTAGATATTATTATTATATTCATTATTTTATTTGATATATTATATTATATTATAATATGTGTGTTTTTAATGACATTGTTGACTTCATTTTATAATAGAATTATTAAAGTATGTTTAAAAGAGTTAAAATGATAGTTGGGACTGTTAAGGGAAAGAAGATTAATTTTCATAAGATAATTAAAAATAGAAATTTCTGGTTTATAAATTCTATACAGATTATTAATGTACTAATAATATAAAATATGTATAACAATAATATATTTATGAATAAAATATACCAAACAACAAAATCTATATAACATGATCAGAAATAAATAACTATTAATTCTAAAATGTATAGGTATTTAAATAATTCAATGATAAAATTAAGTCAACAACTTCATTATAAATACACATAATATATAATATAAAATATAAATTAAATAATAAATAATGAATAATTAACAATTAACATCTAAAACTGAAAACCAAAAAACAGGAATATAACCTTTTATCGACTTACTTTGAATTATTAATAATAGAATAAGTAAAAACTATATCTAGGTAACTATAATAGTTTAAGAAAAATATAACAATTAAGCGAAGTCAGAATTTTTTTAAGTACACACTCGCTATTGCTAGAGTTCAGAGTTACTGACACATTTCAAACAACTATTGGTTATCAACAAGGTGACCTTTAGCTATATTGTTGGACTTATTTTGGTGATCTCAAAGCAACTCTCATTAAATAATGTTAACATATTATTATAGCTTATACATCAATCAAGTTTTATTTTGTTTTTAATAAATGTCTTTATTAAAAGGTCATAATGTAAATTTAAACAGATAAGATTATAGACATTTCACAAATTATTAATTATATTTAAATTGTATTTATAATAAGTAATGACAATAAAAAAATAAATAATATCTTCATAAGAAACATTACCTATTTTGTAACTCAATAAAATATTGCCTATATTTATAATAAGACCTTAAAATAGTCATTTAACAGTAAACTAGGTTGGTAGTTACTTAAGGCTATCACAGAATATATCTAATCTATTCTGAGGTTTTATTGTACTTATGTAAATACCAAAATGTATAAAACAAATACATGGACACATGGTCTATATTATTTCATAATGCCAAGTGAATTAAACAAAATAGGTACAAATAGAAAAAAACTTTAATTAATTAATTTGGCTTTTAATTAAGTATTTTCTAGTAGGTATAAGTGTACACGTATTACCTTAGTTTTATTTTAATTATAGATACCACAAAAGTAAATATAATTTTATATTTATATACTTTTTAATATATATATATTAAAATTCCAAAAATGTATATGTTATTCTATTTACATAGGTAAATAAATATTATTGATTATACAATACGTAGTATTTTATTTTATTTTTATTCTGATACAGTGATACACTAAATATTGAATAGACGCCAGAAAATACCTATGACCTACAAGTAATCAGGTATTTGAACTTGAAAAAAGGCCAAGCGACCACAGTGACATTGACTCAAATAGAGAAATAGTATTAGATATAGTCATATAGACAAATCAAAATTCAAAGGTCACTAACACTCATAGGTATGGTAAAACATTGATCGAGTGCATGTAATATGATGTACCTAATGTAATATGGATGACTCTCTGACTCAAAATCTAACATTAATTTACAACAACGGGCAAACCTTAATCCACAGATCGTTTCTCATTTCTGACATTCATGGAATTTACTGCATTTTCAACAAAAAAGTCAAATAAGCATAATACCCTACACTATAATGAGCTTATTAGGGGAAATCAATGGATTATAATTGAAATGACGGTAAATTAATGTGAAAACACTTATTAAACAGTAACCAGAAGACACTTACTTGTTTTCTTCACCGTCGTAGAAATAAAAACTTTTGAGCGATACAGCTGCAGAAGATAAAATGAGAGATTTTGCGTCCGCCCAGCTTTTATGAAACTGAAGAGTGAAAATGAATTATGGTAAAATTGTGGGTTGGGTCTGGGTAGCTACGACGTATGGGAAAAATCAATGATATTATGGAGTTCGGGTGTAGGTCACGGCAAGGACGTTGCGTACACAGTGTGACCTTACCTAATAACAAGAAAATAAATGAACAATAATATTGTCTGTAATATTGAGACTTTTTTTTGTGTTTGAACAAAATAAATTTCAGGATTATAGCTAGAAATTTGATAGACTAAACCGGTGCTGGATAATGTGGGAATAATTTAAAACCGGTCTATTTAGCGAATTCTAGCTCTAGGTGCCTGTGTAAAATTTAATAAAATACATTATCCCCCGATGTTTATCGAACTTTTTTCAAACTATTGTAGTCGTTTGAATCAAATATTAAAAAGTTGAAATAGGTACCAAAATATATAAGGTTATATAGGAACATACGTCCTAAATTATTATATTACGTATATTATGTGATAATACCATAGGTATCTATAAATATTATATTATTATAATGTATGAAGGATGTAAGGTGTAATAGCTTCCTGAAAATTAAAAATGTAAAAATTGGTACAAGTTAAATGTAAGAAAAAATTATGGAAATTATATGAATAATAAATGATATAAGATTTACTTACTTTACTCGTCAATATTTTGAAAAAAGTTATTAAGATTCAAATTGGTTATTTTGAATTCTTCAAAAATAAATTTAATTAAAAATATATATACCGTATACTACAAGCGCAAGCGTCTTATACTAGGTATATAAAAAAAATGTAATATTCATTAGAAAAAAAGTTATTTCATTTATTAGGTCTTTCTGTAATACCTTGTATAAACCTTTACCTATACCTACCTATACATTAGGTACCTATGTATTCAGGGAAGACGCTTTTTCGAGGACCTGGGAATAATAAATTACAAATTACAATTTATATTTTATACAGGTTTTTTTTTTACTATTTAGTGCATCCCAACCCGAACTATTAGTTATTACTACCAAGTACCAATTTCCAGACTTGGGTTGTATTTAAAATACTTTTTTTAAGTATTCAATACGGTATTTTGAATACTTTTTTAAGTATTTTGAGTACAGTATTCGGAATACTTTTCTTCTTATATATAGGTGTAGTGTATACTCTTATATAATACTAATTATTACTTAAGTATTAACTATATTAATTTGAATATCATTTATAACTAATAGATAGCCAGATAGTGTATTATCGATAGTATAATAATGTTCATTTATAAACGCAGAAGTGAAAAATAATATTTTGCTATTGAAATCTAAATCTACTAAAAAAAATTTTCGAAAAATATTTGAAATTCTTTTTGTGAAGTATTCCAAATACTTAGGAATATTATTATCATAAAATATTCGAATACATATTCTGAATACTTTTTTTAAGTATTCAGAATATGTATTTGAAATACTTTTAAAAAGTATTTTACCCAAGTCTGCCAATGTCACTATATAGTCACTAGCCACTAGGTAATTACGATATAATTTCGGGGTTAAAACATACCCCTTCGGTTTCCCCCCAAAATTAAAACATTAAGCTATTAAATCAATAAATCCCATAAAACCAGATCCTAGATTCACTTTTAACTTTAAATTATAAATTATAATGATAGCCGATAGGTTAGGTTAGGTAAGACAGAAAATGTGCTATATTCTCTGAAAATGGAATCAAAATTTAAGGAACAAATGTACTTTACCAACCCACTCACGATTTTCAATTTTTATTTTTCAAACGACTTATTTTTTATGTTCAAAACGATGGTGTACATTTTTTTTACCATAAACTATTATTTTAGAAGTTATAGCTTTCCAAAGTTTGAGAGTTTACGTTTATGCTCATGTGCGCAACGCTACATGATGACTGCCACGCGCAGCGCTATAACAAATTTTAATTTTTACGTTTTTTAAAAAAAAACAAATCGAAAATATGCCTCGATTGGTTGTGTAAAACCACCTTGGGTAGACCTCGGAATTAAACAAAGTTGTTAAAAAGCACATAATCTGCTGGCGTTGTCACTCACTCTCGCTGCGCTGCTCTCGGACAAAAAATCGAAAATATCCCCCGATTTACTGTGTAATTGTGTAAAACCACCTTGAGTAGGCCTCGGAATTAAACACAGTTGTTAAAAAATATATAAAATAAATATAAATTATATTATTTATTATTTATTATTTATATATTTCAAATATATATTTTTAAGCTGTAAAGTTGTATATTTCACCTTAATAATGAATAGTGAATCATAATATTATTCACCTATTATTCACTTATTAAAATACGAAAAAAATAATTTATAGGCTCTGCGCTTGGCAGT